AAACATGGCAGGGCTCTGGCAGCTCTTGAGGTCAGCAAGCAGGAAGGTGAAGTGGGAGAGTGGGTCCTTAATACTTAGGAGAAGACCACGCTCCCAAGGAGGCTGCATCAGTGACCTGGTTGAGAGGTCTGACTGCACCCCTCGCATGGTGTCTAGTTGACACAGAGAAAGTACCACAGTCATTGGAAATCTTATGGAGTACAGTTCTACTCTGATTCATCCGGGGTCCCCATGACTCAGAACCTGATGGAATTGAACAACAATCCAATGGTTGTTCTGTTTTTGTTATTCCTGTTTTAATTCTCCATTACCACACCACGCCGTGAATAGTTGTTGGGTACCACCAAATAGACTCCAAATCCTCTCACTTGTTATGTTTTAGTAGCTACTGGGTGAATCCATGTTGTTGAAGGTCTTCTTGTTTTCACTAACCTTCTGCTTTACCAGCATGATGTCCTTTTCCAGGGATTGGTCTCGCTGATAACATGGACTCCTCGTGCCCGTTTTACTACTGAAAACTGAGTTATTCATGCCTTTACATCGAATCAAATTTGAGAACAAATGCCAGAAGCCCCAGAGGCAATTCAGAAAACTCATTCTTGAGACTCTTTGGAACCACTCTCTGTAGAAAAGTCTTTTTTAGTCAGTGGTCTCCAAAGAAATTTAGCCAATAACATTTATCCATATGTTATTCAGATTAAAATCCCCTTTGAATGATATCATCTCACAAATGATGAAGCAATAGTTTCAGGCTAGAAAAACCTTCAAGCATGAGGTGGAATTAGAGCCCCTCCCTAACGTGTTGATCTGCTTTGAAGGGTGGAGGAGAGGAAGATAAAATCCCAGGATGGAGAAAGAGTTTCCACAGTCTGTACTCACTGAGTTTCAATGATGTGTCAAGCCCTAGGGTTGGTGTTAGAAAATGGAATGATTCAACCTCGACATTGGGTTTGTCCCAGAGGCATAGACTTCCAGTCCATGTACCACACAGCATCTACCACAGAGATGGGGATGCTATCATAGAGATGTGCATAAAGTATTATCAATCATAGCAGATGGTCAAACCGAACATTTCCTGCAGGAAACGGCTTTTTATTTTTAACTTTTAATTGTGAATTGGGTGGATATTTGCAGAACATAATCATTTCCCATTAAGCAATTCATGCACATTTTGTTTCACCTCATTGATTGACATCCTACCTCCTCCCTGGACTTCCTGTTTCCATTCCTCCTTCTTCCCTAACCCTTCTTAATGTTGTTCTTGGGTTAAAGCTGCCTTGACAAAAAAAGTTTCATTGACATATAATTCACATTTCATACACTGTGACTACATTCAGTCATATTAAGACAAGTTGTGCAATCATCACCACAATCAATTTCAGAACATTTTCTTCTCACACGCCTTGTTATTAGCTCCCCATTAACTCCCAACCTCCTCGGCCATGCCCCTAGGAAACCATTAACCAGTTAGGCTATGGACGACAGTGAAGCCCCAAATCCATCTGCAGGGCCCCACATGGATTAAGCCCACAGTGAATTCTCTCTTACCATAGGCTGGGCATGTGAATAGCCTTGCTTTCTGATAGAGAACATGGTCAAGCTGATTATGGAAGACTATGGCAGTTAGGCTAAAATGTAACAGCTTATCCTTTGCTCTCCCTTTGACCTTAAGTTGTTTGTGTTTTTAATATTTTCTTTCTTTTCAGTTGCGATTTTCCAGTTTTGTTTTGTCATTGTTATTATTTGCCTCCTGTTTATGTTTGATATCGTTTTTTGTATATGAAATCCAGGGGAGGTGAATGCTGCCCTTTCTTATGTTAAATAAGTGCTTTAAGGTCCGTGTACCTTCCTATTGCTGTTGGTTCTCTACAGACGTTTCTATTATGCGACTCAGTATTGTGCAGGCCAGTCCATTTCCAGACCGAAACGTGACTAAGGGGCATTGTCTCGGGGGCTGGTCTGATTTTATGATTTGGAATACGGTTCCATATTTTCTCCCACTATGTCTAGGCCAGTGGTTTTCAACCTTTCAAAGGGGCCACCTGATTCATAACAGTAGCAAAATGACAGTTATGAAGTAGCAACAAAAATAATTTATGGTTGGGGGGGTCACTACAACATGAGGAACTGTATTAAAGGGTTGCAGCATTAGGAAGATTGAGAAGCACTGATCTAGGCCCTTCTAATATGATCTCTTTCAGGGAAAATGGTAGTTATAGTTGGACAGAATCTACTTCTGGTCTCAAGGTCATGGTCGTTAAGTGTTTCCATCTATCTCCAATTTTCTTCATTCTTCTTTCAATCAAATAGGGAGAAACCAATAGTTGTACCTTAAATGGTGACTCTCAAGCTTTTTTTAAAAAATCATTTTATTAGGGGCTCATACAACTCATCATAATCCATACATACACCCACTGTGTAAAGCACATTTGTACATTCATTGCCTTCATCATTCTCAAAACATTTGCTCTCCACTTAAGCCCCTGGCATCAGCTCCTCATTTTTTCCTCCCTCCCTCCCCCTTCCTCCCTCCCTCATGAACCCTTGATAATTTATAAATTATTTTGTGATATCTTACACTGTCCGACATCTCCCTTCACCCACTTTCCTGTTGTCTGTCCCCCAGGGAGGAGGTTATATGTAGATCCTTGTAAT